AATTGCAAAGAGAACTAAAGGGATGTAGGAAATACAGGGTGGCCATTGGATCTTTCGACAGGACTGTGCTTCAGGGGGGTATTGTTAGGGAGTCCACTGGGAAAAGCCACGTCTGATTACAAGGAGTATGACAATGTACAGGAAGAGTTGTTCTGGAATCCATCAGGATGGACCCCTCTGGCTCACTGCTTCTAAGTCTTGAGTTACCATGTAATGGCAGCTGGTCTGTCTCTGTGTGTCTGTCATCAACAAAGCTTTCCCTCATCTTGCCACACATGTTAGGAAAATGCAGGCTAATGAAGTGGGATGACAGTGAACCTGAGTGGGGTCACCGGAGGGATGGAGACAAGAGCCAGTCCAAGGAGTTGCTTTAGGTTGCTCACATCAATGTTTAGTAGAAAAGGCTCACTAGGCAACAGCTCTTCGGAATCCTTCCACCAAAGAAGGGCGTTCTATAAGCACTGTACATAAATGTAAAACAGCTTACCTGCAAATCTGAGTGTAGGCTTGTTTTTTACCGCATTATATAGGCTCACCGAATTTTCCCTTTTTTCCACCTCCCATTGCCTTTACTATTTTATATAGGCTGAATTGGGGGTCACTGACATTACACCTTAATCTGTCATTTTCAAAATACCAATATGAACATTACCTGGAGATACCAAACTCAGAGCTGGATCCAGTAATTGATAACACTTAGCATTGTTCCTGCTTTGGGGGAAAGAAGGTGAACATGTTTTTGTTTATACATTATGTTAGGCAGGAGCATTTTATAGAGGTGCCTGTGACAGTAATAATGGGAAATGTATTAATACATATGGAAAAAGAATATGTTTATGTTAGGCATCTGTCCTCTGCATCTTTTGAACACCCTTACAAGGTGGGGAATTTTTTACATTAGAATCTTACATTTGAAGTCCCACCTCCCAAGGTAGAAGACTGCTAGTTGACTCCCAATATCCATTCTCCCCATCTTCTTTTGTCACAAACTCTTCATTTCTGCTGAGCACATTACTTCTCAGGCAAAAAATGTCATTTCCAACATGGCTAAGTTCTAGCCAATGATAGTAATCAGAAGTATTGCATATTATTTCCAGGAAGTTTCCTTATTATAGAAGGGAGAGAACAACCCACATTCCTCTTTTTCCCTCCTGCTGTTTGGAATGCAGGTGTGATGGTTGGGGCTCTAGCAACCACTTTGGATTATGAGGTGATAGAGTGGAAACCACACATTGAAGATAAAGTTAGGAAGCTAAGTCACTAAAGCACTGTGAAGCCGACATTACCAGCACTTAATATCTACCACACGATATTTTTTAACATGAGAAATAAATTGCTGTCCTATTTAAGCAACTGCTATTATTTGGCTATATACAACAGAACTTAATGATAACTAATTCACTTGCTCTTCCAGCCTCCCTTGTAGCTGAGGCACAGGCCTGTGACCCAGACTCTTAATTGCACACAGTGGTACAGGACTTCAATTCTAAAGAAGCAGGCCGTGTTTCTGTTTTCTTACAAGAAGGGTAGTGGTGGAGGGATCAGAATTTCAGAGACAGCAATGGTGAGACTGGTATCCAATGCCTCACGTCATGAGTAGGGGCTCTGGTGACTGTGCCCAGCAATGGCTATGGAGCCTTCTCTAGAACAATCCCACATGCGGTTAGGCATACTTCCTGACCACACAGCTTCCAAAACCAACTGCCTGGCTTTCCCAGGGATTCAGTGAGCTACCTGACACCTCTAATACATTCTTTTCATGTTTTAGCAACAAGAAACCCTAAGTGCTATGCCACTCCACTCAGGTTTAGCTGAAGATAAAGATCTTGTTTCTAATACTTTGGCCTCTAACCTACCTGCTTTAAATCACTAGCTTAAACCCAAGGTTTCTCTCGAACTGGGGTTTAATTAACCTTTATCCCTACTTTTCTCGATGTGGGAGAGACTGTAGTTGGCTACCAACATCCATTGTTCCGTTGAAATATGCATCTACTGCTTGTGACTAGGTATAGCCACACAGCTGAAACTCACCCGCGGAATGGGAGTGACGGTGATGCATGCAGCTTCTGCCTCACTTGTGTAACGAAAAGATGTTTCCTTGGTTTGGGCTTTTTCTTCTCTCTTTTCCTTTCCATACTCATGATACAGCTTCAACCAAGGAGATAAGGGAGCAGCCTAGGGGACAGCAGAGCCACAAGATGGAAGGAGCCTGAGTCCCTGAATGACTTCATGGAGCAGGGCCACCCCAACAGCCTGGACTCTTCCCCACGGGACTGTGACATGAAAGAAGAACAAACTCTGTTCTGTAGCTGCTATCTTGGGGTCTCTTTCAGCTTAATCTTTCTCTCCTAATACAACGGTAGTGGGGGAATATAAGACATGGACGTTGTGATTAATAACACGGGATTACCTACAGATCGATGCAGGAGACACCAACACAGGCAGCTGTGTTGTCACAGCGCGGCTCGTTTTCCCACCCTAGAAGGGCAAGAGAGACACTGAACAGTGTGTGAGCACTGTCACGAGACGCGAAGAGTCTCAAGTCTCGGGACTTCTGCTAGCAGTCCTAGCAACGCCAAATCATCTTTTTTGGTTGCCTCAGTTTGAAATATATATAGGTCATACGACTTCCATCTCAGACTTCAAAATGGATGATCTTTTATTATTTTGACCAGAATGTTTAGAAAATTGTTTTCAATTGCAACTGTCCTTGTTTACTGTGTCTGTTCTCTTTTTTAAGGATTGAGTTATTTCAGGGGAGTTCTTTGATAAATAAACACCTTTTAAATTTCAAATATTTTACCTTTAATATAACTACGCCCTTTTAATTTGAGCTTCTAGATCAGGAATCAGGAAACTATAGCCACCTGCTGTTTTTTGTTCTGTTTTGTTTTTTATTTATTTATTTTTATCATAGTAAAATACACGTAGCATAAAATTTACCATCTTAACCATTTTAACAATTCAGCGACACCAAATATATTTGTAACATTGTGCCGGCACCACCACCGATCTCCACGCCTGTTTTCATCTAGTAAAACTGGAACTCTTTATTCCTTAAAACCACAGCACCCTCTTCCCCCAGCCCCTGACAACCAGCACTCTGCTTTCAGTCTAGATGATTTTGACCAACTACCTCTAAGTGGAATCATGAAGTTTTTGTCTTTTTGTGACTGGCTTATTTCATTTTGCATAATGTCCTCATGGTTCATCCATGTTGTAGCGTATGTCAGAATTTCTTTCCTTTCTGAAGGCTGAATAATATTCTTTTGTACATATTTACCACATTTTATTTATCCATTCATCTGTTGACATTACTAGTTTTATCTTTTTAAATCAGTTATTTACTTCTTAATGGCCTTTAACATTATGTCTATTTAACTGCAGGGAGCCCAGCTGCAGGCAGTGATCATCTGGACAAAAGCTCAACAAGACTCTCCTCAAAATCTTCACCCTGCTCTGGGCTAAGTCTCAGGCTGCTCCACTGTCCAGGCACTGTTTGAGGAACCTGCTCATCAGATGGTTATCCAGTGAGACCTGCTCCTTTGTGGGTGTCAATATAAAATGCCCGCAACACCTGCTGACCACACAGATTGCTACATGGCGTCCCAGCAAACTAGGCTTTCCCATCTCAGCTGGAGCTACTCAAAGGACAGCCGGCACCTATTAAATGCTTAGTTAGAGAGAACTACTGGCTCATTTCCAGTAGCTGTACACCCAAAATCTTCAGAATGTTATCCTATATTTTCTCTGGTTAAGATAACTATATCCAGAGCTCTAAATCCCAATAGTGACTGTAAATGTTGGCAGAGTCTTCCCTAGAGAGAATTCTTTTAAATTTCCAAACTTATGGAACATTTACTGTATGTCAGGTGCTCTGATAATCGAGATTAAAAAGTCCAGT